CCCCACAGGCAGGGAGCTGGATCTGACAGTAGAATGAGCTGAAAGTAGGAGAAAAGCCGTATTTATACAGTGGATGACGTCACAATGCATAGGTAAGCATTTTTTTTTTTTGCACACGGCCCTAAACAAACTTGAGTCGCTGCCAAGTATTTACCTGTGTAGTCAGCATAAAAAAACGTAGGTCTATCGTATTTTTGCACAGGACCCTTACAGATGATGCAACAGGTATAAAAGTCGCTGACAAAATCATAGTAGCAGCAGCGTATAGTGTATAATGTAAACACAGTGTAAACACACCCCCGTATTTAGGGGGATTATATGTACTGAATTGAACCGGCTATCCCCCAGGGGCTGCACTCTATTGACCCACCTATCCCCTCCAGGGGCTGCACTCAGTTGACCCACCTATCCCCCCCCAGGAGCTGCACTCAGACCCACCTATCCCCCCACAGCCCCAAAAGTGCACTCAGTTGACCCACCCATCTAGGCGCCTTATACTACTGCTCACTCCTCCATGGAACCTGATCCACCTCTGATTATTTGCTCTGTTACATATATTGTATTGTTTAATGGACTTTTGAATTTGACTAGTGTTCGCTATCCCCAGTAATTTTACTATATCATGAAATTAGACATTGTGCTCTAAAGAATTTCATTGACCAAATAAATGTTGACAACTTCCACTATTGTTTTGTGTCGAGTAACGATGGTTGATTTCCCTTCTTAATTAATATCGGCTGAGAACCTTAGATTTGTACGTTGTATTATATTATTCATTTTTAAGTTATTATTATTTATTATTATTTATTTATTTATTATTCTATTTTACTTATTGTTTCATTTTATTTATTTTTTGGGGTAATTTGTTTCTCAATAATTAAGATGACAAAATGCCCCAATTTTCTACCAGCCTTAGTGCACTAAACTTCCGGGGTTAGCATTCTAAGGTAGATCTGCAGATCTAAATAATACATCGATTGGTTTTTCAACTTATACTTGCAATTTGAGTGTAAAATTGATTTTCTTATTTTGTTCAAAGTAGATACCGATAAGGTGATTTATTGTGCCATTTTTTACTCGTATTTTGACTCCTGGTTTTGAACATGTCACAATTGCAGAATTTATGATTTAAGGTTTTAGAAGGTGGTTTACAATGGTACCTGGTGCAGATTGTCAAAATGTCCCATGTGTATGTATGTAGAAAAGAGTAAGTTATATCAGATCTATAGCAAAGGCTCGTGGGAAAGGAAAAGACAAATTTTTCCATATCTTTTAAGTTCGTGTTTATGTGTGTTGGGCGGGGGCTGGGGTACATGGGTACTTATCCTCCTAATAATGTACATACAATTTGTCACCCGCAAGAATAGTTGCCATTTTTGTCTTAATTGTTTGGCCATCAATATTTTTTTTAATATCACTCTGATTCTTCACTCAGTTTTCTGAATTTGATATATTAAGGATAGAGTTCCTCTTTGACAACATTTCAGGGACGTAGCAACAGGGGAGGGGGGCAGTTCATTAAAAGGCTGGTTGCCCCCCCCCCACCTTTATACTAAAGCAAAGTAATATGAAGGAAATATTAGTAATTTAGTATTGTAAGCTTCAAATGGATATTGAAAGGAAAAAAGTTTGCCTCTACCACCACCCCCCCCCCCCCCCGAAATAGGATTTTCGACTTTGGACAATTTTTTTTTCTTTTTTGTAAGTAAAAAAAAAGTTCTGTGCCACCCCCCCCCCCCCTTTCAAAATCGACGATGCTACGTGCCTGCATTTATGTAGTCTTCGTACACAAGATCCTCCAATAAATTGTTGGAAATTCCGATTGGTACTGATTGTGCTTTAAATATAATCTGACTCTTTTTATATTCAAATTCAAGTGAACCAGAATAAGATAAATTTGCCTTTTCCATTTTATCCGATGGCTCAAGTGAACTTTTCAGATCTCGTTTAGTCCGTTTGTCTATTTGTATTTCCTTTTTCATGTTTTCAAGGGAAGTGCAAAATTTTCAACAACATTGTGTGACGTTACGGAAAACTAAACCTTGTATGTAGCGCTAGACCTCTTCCCTTATCCGTTTCTTTCTTCTACATATGCAGATCTAGAGAGGGGAAAATGAGTGACAGTTGTTCCACTCTACAATAAGTCCAAGCTTTCTCCTTCTCAATCTTTAGCCTCTTTGTTTAGAGGTCTTCTCCTTGGGTTAAATCCTCTCTAATGAGCCAATGCTTTAACCATCCTCCTAAGGTATCCGATCCATATTAGCCTCAGATTGAATGGAATTGAATGTATAATGGATATGTATTGGCTGAATAATCAGTGTAGTTAGAACTAATTTTCATCTTTTAGTATAAGAATGTAAGATTGGGACATGTCCTAATTTATGACCTTTTCATGCCCTTGACGAGTTATTTCCCTTTGATTTTACTCAATAAAATTAATTTTAAAAAAATCTGTCTGGTAAAAAAAAATTATTTCTAATTGTTTTTCTACTCCCAATGATCAAATAAATCTTTCCACCAAAGCATTTTTTGATATTTGAAGTATTTATTTAAAAAAAAAACTTCCTTTCTTCCATAGACTTCAATAATTAATTTCTGCTTAGGTAATAATTTTTTGAAAATTTCTCTTGGTAAATCCCTTTCTACTCTTAAATGCTTTAAAATAATATCGGATACTTTAAAAACAATTGATATTTAAGGTTAGAAATTTTGGTCCTAATATGGGTCGGATACCTTAATCGAGACCTTCTTACTAAAACACATTATCCTGTAAAACTTTTTTCCCTAGTTTTAATACAGGTGTAACTTTATACTGCGAGACGAATTTCTTCCCCAGAGAACTGTGTATTTGAGTTGATCATAACACTTTGTGTGTAAAATGGGGCAATTAGTTACACAGATCTGCAATATTCTTGTAATTTCTCTAATGTTAACACATTTTAAAATTCTGATTCTGTCATCTCTCAGTAAAACACATGAAATTTTTATTTAACCACTTTAATGAATTATTTATTATGATGTTGATATTATCATCATGATATATATAAATATACAATATACACATAGGGAGGTCTATTGATAAATAATTCCCCATCAACTATTTCATCAATAAGTCAAAAGCTGTCAACTTTCAATCACATCTGTCACATGACTTGAAAATCATGTGACCAACTCAGATTCCGAACACAACTTACTCTATGCAGAGCTTCGTAAACAATAGATCAACTTATTTCTGCATTTTTAATACAAATCTAGCATCTATCACTTACAACTTTGATGAAGAAGATAATTCTCTTCCCAGGAAATATAATACCTTTTAAGTTACAAGCATTCTACTGTTTATTGCACATGACTTTTTTTGTATACAATCTTCTATGTAATGGTACCTAACATCACATTTGGATATACATTATGTAATTCATGCAACTTGCTCTCATTTTATCTGATTAACTGACAGCTTTTTATAACCTTTTACTATTCTGTATTAAAATACAATCAATTCATATTTTGATCAGGATATATAATTACTGTAGACATACTTTTTTCCATGGGGTCATAATTCCGCGGAATCTCAATTTCTGCTTGATCCGTGTGTAGAAAATTACGCGGATTTCCTAGATTGTCAATATATGTCTTACATTTATATTAAGAACGCCTGGACAAGCTTCTGCAGAAAATTTGTGACCGTGTAAATAGTGTAAATTAATACCACATGGAAAAAAGAACTTTTACAGTATATCAAAAGTTTTAATAATTATGCAATTTTATCCAATGGTCTTGATTTCTTGTCACTGGCATCCAGTTCTATCTTTACTTATGATATTTGTATGCTTCCTTTTATTATCCATTAAATGCACCCTTTTATAATGTTTTCTAAATATAAAGGGTTTTAATGTGGATATTTACATGTATGTATGTACACGTGGTTTCCTCTTCTTTCATTAACTATGATAATCAATGCACCATGAAAAAGCCTTCAATTACAATTCCAACAACAAATATCCTACAATAATCATGTACTAATTACTTACTCATTAATGATTGTTGGTTATGGATTGTGAAATTTACCATTCATACACTGAGTATTCATTATCATACATGGGAAATACATTGTACATTTTTGCTTAAATTCTTCAGAAAATCTAGAAAACTGCAACTATAAAAAGGAATTATGTTTCTGAAAAATAACATTTACTTGGTTTGAATTTATTCTTAATAAAGATAACTCTTCAACAATCATTATGCTTTTCTTTCAGAACTTGTCATTTCTAAATTGTTTACATAAAAAGAGAGTCAAACTTTTAATTGTAAAAACCAGCAACACACACATGTACATGAACATGCTCATACTCCATATCCAAACTTCTGAATATTCATAAACCTTTGACAAACTGTACTAAACTACATGGAGAACTCATAAACATAGCTCATCATAGCAGAATGCACCGTAAGTGTTTTAAACATATACTCTTCACACAAATATCTCCTAAAAAGAGGTTTCCTTAATAATTTAGGTAAATATCTGCATGTTAAATGGAATGTATAATACCTTGGACATTGTGATAATGGCAATAGTTATCTATAAAAATTGAAGCACTTTGTTTAACTAGTATCCACCTTTTATACTTTGCTGCATTTTCCATGGCTACTCTCCCCCCTATATAGTTTATGCTATATTATGACAGTGATCAACAGTTAACGTGGTAGACCCACGACATTTTATCACATCCTAGGATCCAATGCCCAAAACAATCAACAACAAGCAATATGTAATGCATTACATGAACTAAACTTATGTTGAGAGTCTATGGGAATTTGTAAAGATCAAAAAAAATATACATATATTACAAACATAAGACATTTACAATTGCAAAATTTTTTTCCCCCTAAAGCTGACATTTAATGCTTTGAATGTATTAATTTAGGAATTTAAAAGTTAAAACACACAACCCATGATACTTTTTCCTGATCATACAAACTTTACACAAGACATCACGAGAAAGAAGATCCTTATTATTATCTCTACTCTAGCACAGTATCAAACACGGGACACAAGCTAATTACAACGGTCTAGTCATGTCGGTCTTCTCTCTCTTCTGTACAGATTATCTCCCTTTATACAATCCACTGTCTATCACGTTCTGCTCTCTTGAGTGCGCACTAGAATTGATGTTCCAATAAATCGGCTAGGATATTTGGTACTGGCGGCTTGCTGGCACGTATTGTTAATCTATACATCTGTAGAAAGGGACAAAAACCCATTGAATCAAAAATTAAATAAGTGAACAACAAAATGCTTGCATTTTGGGGCAACTCTAATCAAAACTTGATTTAGCATTATCAGAATATTTATTAAGTATAAATATTGAACAGACTTTTAAGGACCCATATAACATAAAGAATTGATTCTAAGAAGAAAGTTAGGGATTTACTGAGCTAATGCTCCCATACCTGGGCAGCTTTATTTGGTTCTAATCGGATGAGACAGCCAATCTGGGCTGACCTGGCGTGAATAATACCAGCAGCTACATAGTTTTCTGGGTTAGGGTCGATTCCTTCCAAGACACTCACTCCAAATCCCAAAATCTAAATTATAAATCATGTCAATCAGAGTTACCCGGTAAACATTTGATGTGCAATTATTCTAAAAATAAATCCAAAATTATTATTTGCAAACAGTGTGATAGATGAATGTTCTCTTGAAAATGACTGAAACAACAAGCACAGTTTGCTTACTTTTGTCTTGTTCTGTTCAGTGTCTATTGGAAATTTGGCCTTAAAAACTTTCTGACATTCTTGATTAGGCCTACAAAGAGAAGCACATCATCTTAAATGTTCAACAATGGCAACTTCATGAGAAGAAAAAAACAAATGCAGTCCAATGACAGAGTCTTATATTTATTTGATGTTCAACCTACTGTGAAAGGGCCTTCCATCTGGAGAAAAATGTGCCAGAATCCATTTCAACTGGTTCCGAAAATTTGCTACACATTACTGGAAGCTTTAGTTTCAATCTCTGAGAGTTACCATTACACCTAAAAATATAAAGTTTAAATAAGATAAGATCATTTCTATTTGAAGTTGGGTAAGTCAAAAAGAAACATTAGCTCTAAACAGCTATTTTTCAACTAGTGCAGGTTTCCTATAACCTGCTTCAGATTCTAATATGTACAACAATTTACACATACACAGCGTCTGTTCTGAGAAAGTGTCCGTTTACTTACGTGAAAGAGATAGCTAGAATGGGAGCCTCGGCAAACTCAGTGATACACTCAATATTGATAACCTGTTGGACTTGAGCTCCGCTGTCTATCGTGGTATCTACAGGCTTTTGTGTACATGTGATCTGTAAACCTCTGTTAAGGTCGACTACTTAATTAGTTTTCTACAAGAATCTTTTATCTTCCCTGGATTTTAAAGACAAGAGTAATGGCACTATAGTTCATTAAAATTTGTGAAAAACTCCATTACTTAGTTCATTTTCTTGATTTTACAGCAGATAGTAATCTTAAAAGATTTTCACAAGGAAAATTTTGATTCCAATGTTTTCATGAATACATGTATAACAAAAAACTCACAAAAATTATTTATTTACCTGTACTTTACTTAAAAAATTAATTTACATGTACATCTGAATGAGAGCTCGTTATTCTCTCAGTAACCCAGATGATTGCTGTAAATAAGTGTATGTAAAGGATATGAGATCCGAGTTCTCCTGGACATTGTGTGTCTACACTGAACCCACTGAACTGGAACGAGGTTTTGTTGCCGTAGAATATCCCTAGCCTCCCAAGGTTCTGGCGGATTCTGACTTCACTCCAATTTGTAGAAGGTCGTTTTCAAATAATACTCCATTATTTACAAATAAACCGGGAAAAAAAAACAGCAAGTAAGTTAGCTTTCCTTTGTTATATCATTAAGTTGAAAGGAGAACACTGTAAAATTAAATTTGTAGATGTAAATGAATTAGTCACATGACATTTTAATTTCATATCATTTTGAGAAAGGCAATTTTAGCACAGTAGAGAATTAAAGAATTATGATTCATTCAAAAATAAAAGTCTGGACTAAAAATTACACCAAAAAAATTGATTCAAAGTTTAACAACACCTAAAGATGATTACGCCATTGTGACTTCAACAGTTCCAGATATAAATCTTCTTTTACACAAACTCATTGATAACTTTCACACGTACTTCCCTGTAAACCTCTAATGACTTACTTTTTAAAGTTTTTCAGCTCCAACTGTCAGACCATTCTCATCCACTCCATTGGTAGATGGCCCTGACCCCACCGTGTCGAAAACGTCCACCAGGAAACTTCCCGCTGAGGCGGTCTGAGTGGGGAGGGGAATTCAGCCCAGTAGGTCGTCTGAGGCCATGCTGGGATTGGACACTGTAGATAGCTGTAAAATAAAAATACAGACATAGCATGAGAATTAGAAAATTCATGTTTTCAATATATTACAGTCAAATGTTAGTTTTATCCCCTAATTTCTTTACTTGAAAGAAAAACATATGTTCAAAACATTCACTTGAAGAAGAATAGGTACATGTATGTGTGTGTGTGCTGATATGTAAGGTACATCTGTGATGTGATGTCTATCCTCAAGAAACAAACAGAATCAATACAATTACATAGGAAACAGAGAAATTAGAAGACAAAATTAAAATTTAATATTTAAATTTTAAATTAAGTAAAATTTAATATGTATATGTAATTAATGAAAGAAGAAATCATGTAACAAGATGTGATTAAATTTTAACATGTGTCATTCAACCCTTAAACTACTATGTAGGTATGACTCTGAAGTAATTTCCGCACATTATTGGTTTTGGTGCAGTCAACAATGTGATAATTCATGGATGCAGTTAATAAATCATTAAAAAATACAATGCATTGTGTAGACATGTGTAACGCAAATTCATATTTATGCGAACCACTCAATTCCCAGTGAAAACACTAATTTATGAATACATACATGACAGTAATAGTAACTCACAGGAGGGGAAGTGGGTGTGAGGGTGGCGTAGGTGTTATAATAAACAATAAGAGTAACTCACAGGAGGGGGTGTGGGGGTGGCGTGGGTGTTGACACTGTTGCTCATCTGAGCTTGTGGCATTGGTTGTTTTGGTTCCTTGTTCTCTGTTTGTTCT